TTTTTTTTTTTTTTTTTTTTTTTTTTTTTTTTTGCCAATTTTGGATTCTTCGCTTCTTTGACTCTTTTTTTTTTTTAGTCTCGTTTTTGATTTGCTTTCGCTTCTGCTTTTGGTCTCGCTGGTTTGGTTGCAGAGATAACTAAGCAGAATTTGAAAATCTCTGGTTTTCATTAATTTAGTTTAGTAGGCTATCAATGTTCGACAACATCAACATTTTATTTTCACACTTCTTTCTTGTTACTTGATATAATTTAATGGTGCAATAGAATTGATTGGAAAGAAGAAAAGGATGAGGTTTCCTGTTTTGTTCATTGAAGTCAAAAGTGATAAAGATGATGATGGAGGTTGAGATGAAGAAGGAGTTGAGGATGGAGATGATGGCGTTAGTGATAGAGATGGCTGATAAAGATGACTGATGAAGGTGGAGGTATGGCAGAGAGGATGGTAACGTTAGCAGTCACTGTTAATTTAGGCAAATAAGTTGTTGGTGTTTGTTCTTTTGGTATTTTGTTTGTTTCTTCAAATTTCTCTTTTTTTTTCTGCTTCATTTAGGTGGAAGATGGATTATTGAAGTTTCTGCATAAAATCTTTATGTGCCTAAAACCGCCGTCAGTTATCTATTCTCTTTTTTCATTTTTTCCTTTTTTTTTATCTCTCTTTTCGTTTTTCTTTCTCAGCTTCTTCTTTCATTTCTGTTGCATACAAATGTTAATAAAGTTAATAAGCAACGCTTAATTTAGTCAACACTCTCTGTCAAAACTTTGCAACGACATGAAGATATTTTTGTGTGAGCAAAAGCAGAGAAATTCTTCAAATTTTTATACATGGACTTGTTGAAGTTGCTGTTGAACAGTAGTTTGACAGTATGCAACACAGAAAAATGTAAAAAGTAACATCTGAAGCTAAATCTTCAGCAGTGAAGAGGTGAAAATTGGTATCAAAATTGAATGTAATTAAAAGAGTGGCTTATTTTTTTCTATTTTAATTAGGATGAATAAGGTG